ACAACTGGTAGCAAGCACAATGTTGCATCTGTTGGAAACCGGTGTCTGTGTGTGTGCATGTGTGTGTGTAGCAAAGAGATGCACAAATTGGGAGAGACATGCAGCGCACACTTCGGGGATGGAACCGAAGGCTGCGCAAGTCGCACGCTTTTCATGTTTTGAGATTGCTGGGGGAGCCTTTGTGCTAAACTCCATCTGTGCATCTTGTTAGGCTGATTGGAGCATGGAGCCCAGCCGTGTCGTCGTGCTCCCAAACATTTTAAAATTTCCTCCGGAAGAAGGGCACCCTTCCAGTGCAGGTTTAGGCAACTAGCTAAGATGCTTAGTGTTGCTGTTGCTGCTGTTAATATGACTTGGGATGGGACGTGATGAGGGTGGATGGCCAGCTATTTTTGTTTATTAATTTGATCCAAAAATGCTTTCTTTGAAGGGTGGAGAGTAAATTAATTCATCAATTGTTATGTGCTTGCTTATTCTCAACCTACCTCTCAGGCAGAATCAATCAGGGCTCATGGGGAAATTACTGTTTTGCCTGATGGGGCTTGTCCTGTGAGTTTTGGCAAGGTTCGGCCATGTTTTTTAAATGTCTGTATGAAGCCATATGGAAAGGTCTGCCAGAGATTTAGGGTAGAGTATGTGGGTTGAGCTCAGCTCTGTTTTCCCCCTTTCAGGGGAACCACGTGAGTAGTAAAAAGATCTGTACTGGTGCCTAGAGATGGTGATAGTCTGGATGAAGGCGAATAAACTGAAGCTCAAACCCAGCAAGAGGGAGATGTCCATTATGGGGATTCAACTGATCTGGAAACTTACAGTTCTGTGCAAGATGGGATGGGAGTCACACATCTTTTGGAGGTGCAAGATTTAAGAGGTATTTTCTGATCTTGCAGAGATCTGAGAACCTCATATCGTAGTCATGGCAAAGCGTTTACACTGGTCCACCAACTGTGATCATTGCTAGGCAATGAAAACATGACCTGTGTGATTTATGCTTTGGTAACTTTTATATGAAAGGTACAGGGATCTAGCATTGCTTTTGAAGACTGTCCAGAAATGCGGGAGCCTACTTCACTGATGGGAACCCACTCTATTGATATAAAAATAAAGTGGCTCCAGAGTTGGTTGTTGTTACAATTCAGACTAATAATTTTAAATTGCCCTTCCCCCCCACTCCCTCCAGAAGCTAGTGAGATGCTTCTGACTCCATTGAACTTAGTAGGATGATTCTGAATAAAGAGGTAACAGAATTCTGTGGCTCAGTTCAGACATTACACCAAACCGTAGTTTAAAATTATGAGAACAAGCCACAGCAAACATAGATTCCCCCTTCGCATCAAACATCGCCACCAGGAGGAATCTGGAAGCTTTTGCTTCCAGTTTAGGTTAACCACAGCTTGTTCTCTGAACCTGATGAACTCTGCTTAAACTTAACTACAGTTTGTTTGAAGCGACTTGATTGCAAAATGCAGGTTATAAAGCTTACTTGCTTTAACACAACTTAGTTAGCATTAACCGTAGTTTTAGATTTGGATGAAGCACTGTGTCGTAGTTGGAATCAAAAGCTTTCAGACTGTTGCTCACAGTTGTGAAGAAGTTGGAGATGAGGGTGAGGAGCAGATAAGCCCCAGGCTCGCTGCAGCTTGTTTTTGACATACTAAACTACAGTGTAGCATAACATTATAACACATTTGTGTGTATTCCAAGCATCATGAACTTGGGGAAAGTTTGGTAGGGCAAGACACCATGGTCCTCCTTCAGATTTTGGTGAACCAATTAGGGGGGACTCTAAAGACCAAAGCGGTTTACTTGGTGGGTCAAGTGATTGGTGAGGCTTCCATAAATACTACACAGATTTGCTCAGTGAAGGTTGGTGACCTTCTGAAAAACCAAAATACATTGTGGGGTGGTTGTTATCTTTTAAAAAAATGTTTTTATAAACATGCTTGAACTTGTGGAAAGGATCGCATGAAACCCACTACACCTTTCTAAGAGGCCAAAGGAAGCATGTTGTGAAGTAAAAGTAATTCCCCCCCCCCCCGCACACAAAATTATTAGGAATGCTTCAGAAATTCAGTCATTGCCAATCCCAGTATAAACTGAAGCAATCTACAGCTCCTATAATTATGTCTTGATCCGAATTTAGTTATCTGCCGACTTTCAAACTTTCTGAACGTTCTGACAGAGATCTCAGCTGAAAAAAATCTAGAGAACTACGTTTTAAAATGTGTATGTTGAGATAAAATATGTCTGAATATAGTATATAAATGTGGATTTTGTGCATTTTTAAATGTGCAGGTTAATGCAAAGAGAGAGAGAGGAGGGAATAGATATTTGGGGTGAAACATGCAGAAGTGATGCAGACAAGAAACAGGCCGCTTTTTGCACCCCTAACCATTATTTTGCCAAATGAATATTTCTCAGCAAGCGCCCAGGGAACAGTGTATGGAAAGCGGGGATGAAATAGTGTGTGGGGAGCCTTATCAGTTTGCAGCTACTGAAATTTGCTTGCAGTACTGATGAATAATGGCAAATCTGAGTTAAGATACCATTTCAATTGAGATGACAAGTGTAATAGATGCGTCTCTAAATCTGCGCAGTGACAAGTTCTCGTGCTTCTTTCTGATCCCGTCTGCAAGGAGGAAATTGCTTTGAGAAAACCTTTCTCCAGTCAAACACTGATCTATTCTGGACAGCTGGCAGGCAGTCTCACAGAAAAATAGTGAAAGTTCACTCACTTTAGGATTTACTAGCAATCTGTGACATTCCAAAAGTGGAGTTGATTAATCTGGATCAATAATCCCGGCTACTAAAAGAGAGCCCTGATAGAAAGATTGGTTGCATTATATATGTATATATATGTATATATATATGTGTGTGTGTGTGTGTGTGTGTGTGTGTATATATATATATATATATATTTGCTTTCGTAGATTTTCACGGGTACAGGAATGCAGGTTTTGGTGTCCTCGGGTGTCTTCCCGTGTAAAAGTTGGGGTGTCTCGGCGACGTTTCGACGAGGTCTCACTCGTCATCTTCAGGCTGGTGCTTTCGGCTTCTTGTTACTGGAACAGAGCAGGATCTCAGTGTTTGAGTTCCTATAAATACTGTTGAGGGGGTGTGGTGTATAGCCTCCAATGTTCTGGGCAGAGAGGAAGTTCCCAGGTTAGTGTGCCTTTTCATATATATATATATATATATATATATATATATATATATATATATGCGCTCTGTTCGGAGGGCTCGTTTCAGGTTATAATGCTTAAGAAAGCTAAGTAAATAAATAAATGCAATATTCATGTGGCATAAAAGAGGGGAAGGGTGAGCAATATGAAAATAATAACAGAACAAGACAAGTTGCAACATGATCACAGTGCTGGTTGCGGACAATTTAAGAGTAATGATGCTCCACATTCACTCCGCCTGAGTGAATAAAAAGGTCTGTGACTCATGAGGAAAGATTGTAGGTGCCTGGTGTGTTTTGAGAGGGACTTCCAAAGAACTATCAGCAGTTGGTGAAGAGTAGGGGTGGGGAAAGGGACGCGGGTGGCACTGTGGGTTAAACCACAGAGCCTAGGGCTTGCCGATCAGAAGGTCGGCGGTTCGAATCCCCGCAACGGGGTGAGCTCCCGTTGCTCGGTCCCTGCTCCTGCCAACCTAGCAGTTCGAAAGCACGTCAATGTGCAAGTAGATAAATAGGTACCGCTCTGGCGGGAAGGTAAACGGTGTTTCCGTGCGCTGCTCTGGTTCGCCAGAAGCGGCTTAGTCATGCTGGCCACATGACCCAGAAGCTGTACGCCAGCTCCCTCGGCCAGTAAAGCGAGATGAGCGCCGCAACCCCAGTCGGTCACGACTGGACCTAATGGTCAGGGGTCCCTTTACCTTTAGGGGTGGGGAAGCTGAGGGCCAAATGCAGGTTTCTCTGACTAGCCCTCACGACTCTCACTCTAGGCTACACCCCACTCTAACAACTCCCTGTGAGGGATTGCGTCCCTCAGACTGAAAATGTTTCCCTGCCCCAATGTGGAGACATCTGGTTGGCCACTGTGAGAACAGGATACTGGAATGAATGGACCACTGGCCTGATCTAGTGGGCTCTTCTTACTTTCTTACCCCCATATCTCTATATTTTCTTCCTAGGCATTTTTGTTTTCATTCTGAAAACTGGATGCTTTGAGCCTAAAGGCCTTTGCTCAACGAAAGGGCATAGAATTCCAGCTTTCCCCAACCTGGTGCCCACCAGATGTTTTGGGCTACAACTCCCATTATCCCTTGCCATGAAGATGCTGATGGGACTTGTAGTCCAAACATCTGGAGGACATCAGATTGGGGAAAACTGGTCTATTTTGTGCAACACAACGCTGAAGCACTTGTCCCGAAACTTGATGCTTTGGAGGGAAGCATGAGGTGATGTAGACATTACGGTGCCTAATGTGTGTGAGTAGGAAGATATTTGTTAATTCTTGCAGTTTGCACATTGAAGCATGAGATTTGATTAGCCATATCTTAATGTGCATGATGGTAAATGTTATTAATGGGCGGAAAGCTGCCAGGCTGCCCTCTTTATCTTCAGTGACTGCTTGACATTATGGCAATCTATGCAGTATTATTATTATTATTTAGATTTATGCCCTACCCTGGTTTGCAGGCTCAAGGTTTTAAAAAGCACTCTACCCTTGGCATTTGCCCTCATCCTTAAGATGCATTTTTTAAAGCCTCATCTAACTCAGGTCTTCTTACCATGTTAGAAGAAAGCATAAATAGAGGATTGACTGATTGATTTTTACTACATAAAATAAAATAAAAAAGGAAGCACATAAATTACATGTGTCAACAGAAGTTCAGTAGGGAAGTTTACAAAATATATTTTCACTGTATTTGCATATTCTTAAAAACTGGGAGTAATCTAAGATTGAACCAAATAACACACACACACACACACACACACACACACACAGTGTGAATTTGGGGGAATCCTTTCAGTTTTGAAGGTGGGGGGAACATATTAACAACAATTTGATGTCAGCAGCATGGTTACCTCGAGAGCACCAAACTCCATTTCAATTGTGCATCCAGAACTTGCCGATGTGCCGTTGAATCCGGCCTGCAAAACAGTGACAGTCTGGAGTCACCCTCAGTTGTTACTAAGTAGAAAATGTGATGGATGCATAAACTGTACCTTAATGATTCACTGTCGTTTTGCACGTTGCTAAAGCTTTTCTGGCCTTCTGTATACCAGCTCAGCATATACTAAGAAAGTTAGTGGGGAGAGCAGAACTACAAGCCATACAAGACATGGGGTTGCTGCCAAAAGAAGTCAGATTCAGTTAGATGTACCTGTATCATGGCTCCATCCCTGTACCATACCATTGGCTGCCACTGGCAGAAGGCAGGGGCTGGCGTAACAGCACAGGTAAGACTAAACATAGGAAGAACATGGGGAACTTACTTATACCTAGTCAGGACACTGGCCCAGCTGGCTCAGTATTCCCTACTCTGACTGGCAGGGGCTTTCTGAGGTTTTAGGCAGGAGTCTTTCCTAGCCCTATCTGAAGATGCTGAGGATTGAACCTGAGACCACTGAGATCTGTTCCATCAGATGTTATGAAGAGCTCAGAGGGATCGCAGGCTAGTGCTGTCATCTTGAGTAGCAGACCTGTGCCCCGGTATTGCGTGTCATTTTGCCATGGAGCGAAATTCCTAGGCAAAAGGGGGAAATAGCTGGAGTAACTATTTCCCCAACAAATTACTTCCTCCTTAATGCTTTCTTTCCTCTTTTAAAGTTGTGTCCCACACGCTGACTGTAATTCATAGTAAAATTATAACCTGGGCAGGAGCTGCCAGAGCAGAACTAAGGCTACAGCTGCCCCCTGTCAGGAAGATGTGCCCCAGGCTGGTTCTTGGAGCTAGGCATACCTACCTTCAGTCTGGCTTGCATGTTACAGAATACCGTGTGGAAGAGCTCGTGATGGGTCACCTCTGCATGCAGTGGCCACCAGCAATGTCCATTGTTACCATGATCATTCTCAACATGATGGTGGCAACCTGCACTCATAGCTGTCAACTTACAGATTTGAAAATAAGGGACCAGCAGCCAAAATAAGGGATTTTAGTCAACCAGATCCCAAGCCAAAGGCAGAAAGCTCAGCCAGCAGCCAAACGAAGCCTCAAGCTGTGGTTCCCACAGCACAGCAACCCGGCAAAGGGGATGCAGCAAGGAAAACCACCGTCACCTCTCCGCTGGGAAGCGCTGAGCAAAGGCGAGTCCCCAGGCAACACGGCTGATTTGATCGGCACAAGGCATGCAAGCTCCACCCCCAGTCGTTCTTAGACTCCTTATTGGGTGAGCAACGCAGCCAAGCAACACAGTTGGAGCCTCCCTCCTCCCTGGCCGGCAGGGAGGGAGGGAGAGGAGCTGCTTCCTTTGAAACCCGGGAAATTTAAGGGACATCATCAATAAGGGAAGGGAGTTTCCCGCCAAATAAGGGACAGTTGACAGCTATGCCTGCACCGTGAGCCACAGCACTTGTTGTGGCCACAGAGTGAGGCAACTTTTACATGGACCACATTTCAAGTGTCTTCCACATGGATGCTGGAACATGTACCCTAACTCTCAGATGTTCCCTCATCTGGCCTGTGTGTGGATTGTGGCTTTTCGTCAGAAGTTGTAACCAGTCAATTTGCTTCTCTCCAGTGTTGTTTCCTTTCCAGTAAATCATTTAATTGTCTCCACACTCTGCCCCATATACTTCCACATGCTGCTGTCGTCTTCCTCCATGTACCCATCACTTCCTTCCTTGAATAAAGGGAATACTAATCCCCATGCTCTTGAGAAGACTTGGGATAGATATATTATTTACTCCATCTGCCTGTTGGAAAACTGGGGCATGGGGCTGCGGATGAGATGAGCAGAAATGTGGTCAGAGCTCGTTTTGCTTGAGCGGCCTTTGGTGGGTGATTGCACCCGACCATCAATGGTACAAAGTCTGCTGCTCAGAACCATTGCTCTAAGGAAACCATACAGAATTGTACTTGTTTCTCTAGAGGAACGAACAGAGGGGGCAAGCCCACGTAAGAGACTGCAGTGCCTAGCTGTTTCATAAGTGCCAAGGAGCAGAGAGCAGGAGCGACCCTCAAGAACTGGGATGGGGAAAGCCTGGGAAGATGGGGAAATAGTGGACAATTTGCTTGGATGACTTGGGAGCTGCTGCATCAAAGCCTTTACCTTGTGTAACGACTTTGCTGCAGCTGAGAGAATGAAGATGGGTAACCCTTATTTATCTGCTTATAATGAGTAATGTTTTAAAGATAGATGATTTTGAGACTGATGGTAAATTTGGACCTCTTTAATTTTAGTGCACAGCCTCAATATGGAGTCTAGCCGAGGTACTGTAGACCATTTACCATTTTACTACTACACCTATTTGTCTAGAATTATGTATAGAAAATTGTTAATTTGTTTGAATATTTTTAATTGTCCCCCAAAAAATGTTTCCTGGATTATACCTGCAGAAACCTGTCATGTGTCTAAACAGTTAAAATATGACCAGCCGATCGGCTGTATCAGAAAAATACAAATTAGCATAATCTCTTAGTAAATAATTTTAATATTCAAATTTGATGATAGTACTAAGCTATGCCATTTTTTCCTACGTGAATATTGTCCTCCCTGGTGCTGAGGACTTTAATGTTTGCAATAAAATGCAGTGTATGATGTTAAAATGCATTGATAGAATTTAATCAGACAATGTCATAATAGCTTTGAGTTCAAGCAAACATGGCTTCCTCTGTGATCCAGTGTGGGCACAATCCTGCAAACCATAGTTTACAAATGGAGAGCCAATCTCAGCAATGCATACACCTCTCCCACTTTCCAGGGAAAAAATCCACTTCCCCATTCCATTTCCTTGTTTTACCTTAACCACTGCTTAGTGCCATGGTATGGGAGCCCCTCCTTTGACCAGAATTTGAAACCATGGTTTGAAATAGTTTTGCAAACCCTGGTCAAAAAGACACCTGGTTAAGCTTGACCATGGTTGGTTGGTTGGTTGGTTGGTTGTTATTATTTATTTATTTATTTATTTATTTATAAATAGTAGTGTTTATACACTGCCAACTCTTGTAAAATGTCAAGGCACTCCAGTAGACCAAAGAGGGATTTCACATACCTGATACTGGCTCTGATATGCAAGCTATGGTTTGCAAGGTGGCAGAAACTGCATTTGCACCAGACCATTATGCTGTTCAATTAAAATGTTAATGTCTTCCTGACTTGATATTCTTTCCAGGTAGATGCAAACAGAAACAAAACTAAAACCAGCAATGTTTTAGATTCACATATTGCTTTCCATAAAACAGTCTGTTTGACTGTAAAATATATTCTTCGTTTTGCTGATTGACCACGGGGGCAAGAATGTTGAAACTTTAAAAAATAGTCTTGGTTTGCTGTAACTTTCATGCCTCAGGTCTATAATGAAAATGTGCTTCAGCCTTTGTCTGTGTATTTAGATTTGCTTCATTTGGAAACCTTTTAAGTTGTAGCGGTAGTAATAATAATGATGATGATGTTTGGGTGAAATTGAGTGGAACATGCTGTTATTTTTCTCCCAAAACAAAACAAAAACCCAAGTTTCCAAACAATGCCAGGCTAAAAAAAAAAAGCTTAAAAAAATCAATGTACTTTTAAAGTCATTAGAGATCACAAGCAAAATGAGGCTAAGCTATGATAGCTAAGCTTTTAGTATGTCTCAGTATTGCTGTGAAATCATCTTGAATCTGCACTATTTCGCATCCGCTTTTTGTGGGAGGCACCTTTGGACAATGTAAGAACAAATGCAAATTTCAAATGACGTTTTTATTAGTTAGAACTAAGGCAGACGTGTAAATAAGTTCACAGACATTTACTGGCCTGCAAAATCTTTTACTAGGCTGCTGGCAGAAGTCAGATGGAGATTTCTGCCCTCTTGTAGCAACCCACTGCCTTTCTATGCTGGGAACAGAGGAAGCGGCAGAATGCTAAATCTCTTTCACCCCCTCGCTTACTTTCCTCCATGAAATCCCATGCACTCGCCTGCATGCAATTTCTTCTATCCTGTGTCTACCAGATTATTGCTTAAATACAAGGCTAAGTGAAAAGTGAAAACCAGCTGAGCAGCATTAAAATCGATCTCCACAATTTACAGAATTTGGTACAAACAGGGCAAATTCTGTCCCACCAAGGCCTGTCATTCCGCTGTTGTCTTTTCCTCCATCTAGGTCATGAGCATGATGCTCTTTCGTGGCACACATTTTCAAGCATGGAGCGCAATGTTCACTTTAAAATACCTTATTCCAAGGCATCAAAGTTGCACCAACCCTCTTTGCTTCTGAAGAAAGTTATCTCTGTTTGGGGTGGGGTTGGGCAGTTAATTCACCCAGTGCCTCTTTCAAATGTTTGGTGCACTGATCTCTTCTGCAATCTGAACAAGTGAAATTTGCAGCAAGCAGTTGTTAGGTAGCCATTGACAGTGCACACCCAAGACAACTGCCCAACAATGGGAGTCTAGATGTTTGCAATGTCAGTCATAGGTTGGTTATCAATTGTCACATGAAAGCTGGCGACTGAACATGTGAAAATGTCCTTTGTTTGGAGTTAGGGATAAAGCTACACTATATTCCAAAGTTGGTCCTTATTAGACCTCCAAAAATACCGTATTTTCCGGCATATAAGACGACTGGGCGTATAAGACGACCCCCTAACTTTTCCAGTTAGAATATAGAGTTTGGGATATACTCACCATATAAGACTACCCCCTTCCAACGCACACCAAATAAAATTTTAAAAAACCAGTCTCCAGTCCGGCTCGGAAATCCGCTCCACTTCCCAGTGGCCAGGGACTTCTGGGGCCAATTTTCAAGCATATTTCTGCTTCATCTAGAGAGCTTGGTGTCCTCTGATTTAGTTTGCTGTCGTTTTATCCTTTGGTAGGGAGTTAGCTGCAGGAGCTGCTGCTGTAGCCGGCGTATAAGACGACCCCCGACTTTTGAGAAGATTTTCCTGGGTTAAAAAGTAGTCTTATACGCCAGAAAATACAGTATTTCTAGCATTCACACAGCAACAGATCCAAACAACTTCAGTCTCTACATAACATCTATGTGATCTTGTCCCTGAAAATGACATTATACCATCAGGATGTCTGAAGTCAAATCATCTAGCCAGCCAAGAGATGTAGAATAGGTCTATTAACATTTATCTAGGGTTCTAGAATTGCACTTTTCCCTTCAAAGGTAGCACATTGAATGCATCCACATGAATTGCTGGAAAATAAATGCATTGACAAACTTCCACATTAATGGGCTTCACATGAATCCACTCACACCTTGAAAAGACGTGTTTAGTGATCAAGGTTTTGTGCTGGCTAGCCCTCCCCGGCCAAGCTCCCTGCTGGCTACACAGAAGCGGTACAGTGACCCTGTGCATGAATCAATGCCTCTACGCAAGGGAGAATGCTGGGCCAATCAGGATACCTCTTTGTGTGGAGGAACCCTAACCACATGGTTTGGATTTCCAAAGTGATATGCGAACTGAAACACAGCTATCCTGCAAAGCTTGCACCTTTCCCCATTTTGTGATGTGGGTCTCCAACCAAATTATGTTTACAGAGATATGTGCATTTTAAAAATCCATATGTTAGTGGGGAAGCATATCTACCCTTGTGCAAATTAATTGAAACAAACGATGTAGTTTATTGTACAAAACTCACATATACATGTACAAAACTCACATTCATTAGTAATGGATATGACCTCCACTATTTTTATTGGGGGGGTCTCACTAGCAGCACTTGAACACAGCTTGGCATGGAGTCTACTAGTTTTGAACAGTCACTGTTGATTTTTGGATCCCTGTACCACTCTTGAATCAGCGCCTGAATGAGCTTCTCCATAGTCGTGCAGTCTGCAGCACAGAGGTGACTTTTGCATATAGCCCACAAGTTCTCAGTGGGATCTACGTCCGGGGAGTTCCCTGGCCAATCAAGTACCTGTATTTGCTGCTGTGTCATGAATTTCTTCACCACTTTCGATGTGTGAAAGGGGGCTAGGTCCTGCTGCAATATCCCAGTACCATCAGGATACCTCTTTTCCAGCCCTGGAATAACACTTTTGTGTAGAACCTCCATATATTGTGGCAAGCGCATCATTCCTTCTATCAGCTGCAGGCTTCCGACACCATAATGATCAACTGACTTTTCGTGTTCATTTTGAGTAGAGATAGAAAACATGATTTGTTTCAATTAATTTGCACAAGGGTGTAAAATGCATTATACATTGAAGAAAATCGCCTGCAAGAATGTGTGCATCGGGCAAAACTGTGCACAAAAGATGTGTATATTGGGAGGAGTTAGCGCTGAAACGCTGGCAAATTTGTTAAAAACCAGCAAACTGATGGATGTGGAAAACTAAACTGAAGACTGGGAAAAATGAAAAACAGAGAGAAACCAAAGTACACAGGGTTGCCCATGCCTAGTCCAAATGTAGGACCCTTCACGCTTCCAGCCCATTTGTATATGCCCCCCCCCCACTGTTTTAACGCTGTTCAGCATCCTTTCATTTTCCTGGCTTCTGCTTCTCAATACCATTTTCCTCCTTTTTTGTCCTCCCTGTCCTCAGCTTCATTTCGCCTACGCAAAGGGTGGGGAACCTTTGGCCTTGGCACAACAGCAAGGGCCCCGGGCCCAGCTCTGAAGCTTTCTTGGCAAGTGACCAGTTCAAGCCACTGGAAAGAGTGATCTGCTCCTGTCCTAGCAGAAGGAAGAAGGGATGGTAGAAGGGATGTCACAGAGAAAAGAGAGAGACCCAATTTGGGCACTGGACCTGCCTACTACCAGCATGTGAACCCAGACAGAATGCAACCCTCAAGGGGGTAGGGAGAGACAGCAAAAGGTTCCCCAACCCTGACCTGTACAGTGGTACCTCTGGTTACGTACTTTATTCGTCTGTTCTTAACCCGAAACCGTTCTTAACCTGAGGTACTACTTTAGCTAATGGGGCCTCCCACTCCCGCCACGCCTCCAGCACGCGATTTCTGTTCTCATCCTGAGGTAAAGTTCTTAACCCCAGGTACTACTTCCATGTTAGTGGAGTCTGTAACCCGAGGTGTTTGTAACCCGAGGTACCACTGTACTGTCATTTAACGCAATTGTCTTTCGCAACCCACATGATTTTGTTTCTACACGTTTGTGAAATCATCTCATCCGATGCAGTGCCATGATGTCGTCAGTGGTATCATAATACCATATATAATAATAAAATAAAATGGCGGCATGGAAAGTGGAGGCCAAGGAAGCATGAGCCAAGAGTTAGGGAAAGAGTGGCAAGACGAGTGGCATCGAAGCAAAACACTGTAAATGAAAGGCTCTTTCAGAAATATGTGCCAAATTAGGTACATTCAGTGCAGTCCGTTTGTTTGATCATGCTTGCCACCATGCAGCTAGTCAGATTGATAAAGTGCCATGGAGAATCATTTTATCCGTTCGCCTAGGCTGGCAGCCTTCTATTTTTTCCCTGGAATTATGGCTGTCATTTTCTATTCACGATGCGGAAACAGGCAAAACTCTTTGCATTTATTTATGTGTTTCAACCTCCTCCCATCTTTGCGAACACATGAGCACGCTTGAGCAAAGGTGATGGCCTGGATCAGACCAATTAGCTTTTAAGGTCATGTATTGTTTTTGGTAAGCATTTACTACCAGTGTTTTATTTTGGGGTGAGTAAAAATCTCCTCCACCCAAACACACTTACACTTGCAGAGTTGACTGGCAATAGTTTGGGAATTATTTAAAGTAATGTAACTTATGCCTCTTCCTCAGTCCCACACACCCTGTATAATCTTAAAAAGTGTAGTCAACTTGAAACTTTCGTAGTGAAGTGCTGGTTGCAAAAGCAGTGGCCGCAGACCAGAGCCCCGCTCCCCACTAGTACTTTAAGCTATAAACCCACCATATCTATACAGTAATTTTTGCTGTGTCATTGGTCAATGCTTAATTCGGTTACTAAACCATGTGTCCGTCCATGAAGCAAGCAGTCTTTTCACCGTGGCTTTAAACAAATAACCTCTAAGTTCCTGGACATCTTAAATAAACGACCGACAAGGAATAGGAGATACATCTAAAAGACCATCATTGGTTTTCAAGCCCTGATGCTTAGAAGGGTGAAGGGAAAACACCCCCAACGCGTTGCTGTCGTTTTTCTCACCCAAAGTCAGTCCCCCCCCTTCCTTCCTTCCTCTCTCTTTCTCTTTCCTTTCCTCCCACCTCTCCCCACCCTACCAATCTATGGTCAGATCAGTGGGCCAGCATTCTGCTGAGCCAAATAAATTAGAGAAGTGGTTTTTCTTTTCTTTTTTCGGTTTGGTTATTTTATTTTTTAATTTTATGTACTACGGAGAACAGTGTCGTCTTGTGGCCGTTCTCGTAGACTGTGTTGGTTTAACAAGCGTCCAACCCTTCTGTCTTGTTGTTTTTTTGTCTTTCCTGCTCCCTGTCCCCTTGTTCCCACAGGCTGTGCGTTTGTCACGTTTTCGACAAGGGCAATGGCACAGAATGCAATCAAAGCCATGCACCAGTCTCAGACCATGGAGGTACAGTACTGTATCATCTGCCCTTTCTTTGTTTTTCTTTGTGCAAATGATTGAGAATGTAAAGCCATGCTCTCCCGGAGAAGATCAGACGCATGACAATCACAGACTTAAACTTCTGCCGGCTCCCTCCGCTCTTTTGTTTCCCCATCTCTCTGACATTTACTTCCCTTAATTGTCTGAGAATGAAGGATGATCTCTCTGCTGCTATTTCACAATATGGTGGCATTCAACAGATAATAATATAGTTCGTTGAAATACCACTTTGCCCATCTGGCAAGCTACGTATACATTTAACACACTGGATTTTCCTTTACATGTATATATTATTTTAAACAATCCATGCTCCAGTCAAAAATTTGTACTGGCCAAGCGACATGGAAAAGGGCGGGGTTTGGCCTTCCCTCCCCCTGCATACAAGCATCTATTACTGTAGCTACCCAATGAAAATTCAAATTATGTCAGAAAACAACAAATTACTAGTCTCTCTAGAGAGAGAGCAAATATCTACTCCATCTTTGGCTTGCACTGAAAGTGTTTACTTGCCTAAATAAAGGTGTCCCCTCCCCCAACCCCAGTCTGTGATTTATGTCATGGTCTTTCAGAATTTTGCACAAAAGAGCCTCACCAGTCAACTATGTCTTATTCTGGATCTTCTAATTTAATCATTTGAGAATGCATGTTATATTGTATTATGTATACTGTATCTGTGTATTGATTATCTCCTCTAAAAAAGCATTTTGGTGTAATGTGCACTTGTTTCTTGCTCTTTTTTTTGTATTCTCTTTTCTTTTAAAATGAGGATTGTTCAGTTTCCTTGAATAATATTTTCCCCCCTTTTGCAATGCTTTACTTTCCCAAAGCATGCTGGGTACTAAAATGAACCCCAACAGTGTGTCTGTGTCATTGAACTGCTTTGTATAATGAGCAAAGAAAAATATAAAAGTGCATGGAAATGTCACTGTCTTCTGTATTCTCCAGAAATATTGATATTGGCATTGCAAAGCTATTGTCTTTCCGATCTCTCCTGACTTTAGTTGAGATTATTTTGATATTTTATAATCAATGTGTTTTTCTTTCCAGTGCTATCCATTTTTAAGGCATTGAGAGTCTACATCTTTAGATGTGACTCCTGCCACAGAAAGGAACCCAATTGTCTTCACTATTAAATGGCATTTAAATAGAAAAGTGTTTCTGCGCACACACATTGATATAAAAAAACAACAACCCAGGAACTTAAAAAAAAGAAACCTCTTTGGGTTCAATGAGACACTCTCCCTCTTTTTCCGTGTCCTAAATCTTGTAATGTTAGCAATACACATTTTATTATGTATTGCCTCGAGAGAAAAGGGGAGGGGTATATTGACCTCATTTAATGAGGCCCCTGAACCCAACCTGGTTGGAGAAGATTTGAAATAGGAATGTATTAGAACCTCAGAGGTATGGAAGTTTGTTTATTTATATTAATTTATATACCGCTTATGTGCCAAAGTGGCTATTAAGTTACCTGTAACTAGCCAGGATCATAGCACAACAGACTTGCACAAAGCACAGTGGAACTCTCCCAACTTCTCCTCTTCCCTCAGCATCCCATCCACCTTCAAAGTCTGCATACAACCCCTAATTCTTAGAGCAACTTTGCCATCCTGGCTCCCTCTAGACACTTTGGATTACAACTCCCTTCAGGCCTAGCCAGCAGCTGTGACTGGGCCTGGTAGGAGCTATCATCCAGAACATCTGGAGAGTGGCATGAAATTGTGCAAGATAATCAAAACAGCCACCATGCTCTCGCCCTAAAAAACAGGAAGATGTTGTCTGGGAAAGTGGCACCCCATATTTTGGCTTCAAAGTGTTAGAGGGTGAGCAGGCCATTTCAGAACCAAGGGGGAAACTTGGCCCATAGCTGTCAACTTACAGATTTGAAAATAAGGGACCAGCAGCCAAAATAAGGGACCTGCAGCCTCACCTGTTCCAGGCACTCCAGTCTTCCTGTCCTCCTGCAGTCTGGTCAAACTCATAGCTTCAAGAACACTGTCCAACCAACTTTGTAACCAGAGGTTCAACTGAATAGAATCTGAATCACATGCACCACAAGGCCTATGCAGCCTCAACTTAAGATGGCTCCCCGGCCTGGCTTTGCACGCAAAGTTTGCAGCAGCACGTGCAACAAAATGGCGTCCAGCATTCAAAAACCCCTCAGCTTGCATTAACTAGCCACACACAAGGCATTCAAGCTCCACCCCCCAGTCGTTCTTAGACTTCTTATTGGGTGAGCAACACAGCCAAGCAACACAGTTGGAGCCTCCCTTCTCCCTAGCCAGCAGAGAGGGAGGGAGAGGAGCTGCTTCCTTTGAAATTTAAGGGACATCATTTAAGGGATATTTAAGGGACATCCATCAATAAGGGACAGCAGCGGGGACATGGCGCTGGAATAAGGGACTGTCCCTTCAAATAAGGGACACTTGGCAGCTATGACTTGGCCAAAACATAATGTGAATGGGATGGGGTGCCATTTTTAACGTGGCCTTTGAAAGACCTGGTGTGTTCTTATGAATTTCATCTATGTCTGATGATAGATTTTTAAAGTAATGTTCCAGCGTGTTGTCAATTCTCCTTTTGCTTTCTCACTATCTTCAGATATGGGCGGAACTCCTGAGAGTATACCAATGTCTTCTGAAAGAAAGCTCAGAAATGGTTTTCCATGTACTGCTGAAAGGAAAAGCACAAAGGCTGGATTTGACAGAGAGAAAGAATTAATGGGATGGAGACAGACGAAAACTGTAAAATTATAAAATGGGGAAATACCTGCTAATCTTAAGATAGTGAATAGGATGGCGGGAGGAGAGAATATATTGGTTTAGGTCAATATACTATTATGTTATCCCTTCCTTGGTTATTAATGTCAACACTATTATGGTAAAAGAGTTGACTTTCAATAGCTAATATTAAATCTGGACACTCAACCAGAAAGTATAATGCCGCTGGCACTTTGATTTCATGTTTAATGCAAAGAGAATTCTTTTCAAATGGAAGATTATATATTATGCAATCAGGTTTCAACTGAAATAGCGACGTTATTTTCTGTCCCTGATTTCATTATTTTCACTTCTTCAGTACACTCCACAATGTATTTTTCAGTGCAAACACGAAATACAAAATGATGAGAATGAAAATGTTCATAGGAACAAGTTTCCCCAAAAGTTAATGGCTTCTTAGATTGCTATTTAATCCCCTATGCATATATATGTGTGACAGACAGATATATATGTGAAGTTATGCTCAATTATTTCATTAGTCGAAGGCAACTAATTTTTTTTTTTTTTAATCATGGAACAAATTAGTTAGGGCAATGACAATTATTTTCCGATACGAAGCCACTGTGCTATGTATGATTTCAATCTTTTTGATGTTTGTGCTCTTGAAATTCTGCCCTGATGAAATATGAAGCAGACTGGGGGGGGGGGGGAGCGGGGTCAGATTATAGATTCACAAAATGCTGCAATATTGTCTTATACAATTTACTGCCAGTTAGCATTCATAAATACAATATTGGCTGTCGTGTGGAGCTCAGAGCTGAAAGACTGTAGACTTGAACTGCTATCTCATATTCCTGTCCTTGAAATTTATTTCTGCTTCGTTTGAAAGAGATTTTAAGAGTCCTATTCATTCATCTGTGTACTGGGAGTACGCAGTAAGCTGCTTGTATCTCCTACAAAATCTGACATGAAACAGAATCCAAATTTGCCATGTTGCCTATTCTTTCATTTAAACTGGGTGGAGAGGGGAAACAGCTTCAATTTATATAGTGAAGGCAAGAAAATATATTTTTTCATTAAACTTTAAACTGCTTGGAGGAAGCAATGATGATGCCTTGATGATGTCTCTGTAATCTTTACAGACCATTGTTTGATCACCTCTGTGCACCTAATTTTTACTTGTCCCCTACCCCACCTCCAAAACAGAAAAAAACACATTTTCCTACAGTCATTTAAGCAGATGTGATCCTGTGAGACATACTGCTCTTGTTCCAGGGGTGCAATCCATTGCCATTAAAATAGATGTTTCCGCACTGTTGTGATTGCACCCATCCACCCCAAACCATCGATTTCTACACATAATAATTAGAATGCCAGCATATCGCTGAGTTGCTTCTGCACAAGGCAAATTATCGCCACAGTTTCATCTCATAATTTTTTATTGTAAAATTGATCATCGTTCTACTGTGGAGCTCTTCAGAGAAAAGCGCGCTTTGTTTATTAATTTTGGGGTGAAAGGAAAGAAAGAACAGAACTTCTCTTGCACGGTCTGTTGCTTAATCCTTAAAAAGTTTACTTGACATTACGACTGCTTAAGACTGCAACCTTAGACTTCCAAAAGAGACCGCACAGTGCCCAAGGAAAAGGATGATTTCAGCCTGTATAACCTTTGGGGCACTTTGAACGTAACACTAAACCGTGGTTTGGCGTTACATGAACAAACCTGCTTGTGGCTTGTACTTGCACACTCTCCCCTCCTTTATACTCCTGTGGGGTGCAGCAGAGGATGGGCTAGGAGGCATCTACTTCTGGTTTTAAAGCAACCAGACTTCCCTAATAGATCTGAACTTGGGTTCTCCAGTTAGTCCAAACCACAAAGTGGAGTTTATTCCCCCACCTCCCGATTTTGCTAGACTACAGCTGTCAGCATTCCTGACCACTGGATATGCTGGCTGGGACTGGCTGGAGTTGGAGTCTAACAATATCTCAAAGGTTCTAGTTACAGGTAGATAGCCGTGTTGGTCTGCCGTAGTCGAAACAAAAAATAAATTCCTTCCAGTAGTCTATACCAATAACAAACTTAGTTGGTCTCTAAGGTGCTACTGGAAGGATGTTTTTTATTTTTTATATCTCAAGGGCTGCAGGATCCCCACCTCTTAAAGTGAGTGAGCAAGCCAGGATCATGAACCATAGTTTCATCTAGCTATAGTTTGCATTAACAAGATTGTCCCTCCCAAACAAGTTCCAAGTATAACAAGGAATCTACAACTTTCTCGTTCTTCCTTCTTTCCCTCCCTCCCTCCCTTCTTCAGAACCAACGATACATAACAGAACTAGCTTTTCCTCAAAACAGAGTTTCAATTAATTAAACTATTTTAATTCAACTAATGCTCACTTTAAACAATATATTAATGCTATCTCTAAAAAGATATTAAAAGAGTGTCGTATTGAATGCAGGGTGTATCAAGAGCTCCGAATAATTCCCTCTTTTGCTTCTGAATTGCATAGAAATCCCAAACTTTTGCACACCTTTACATGAGTCATTTAATCAATTAAATTAATACAGGTCATCTCAAGATGGTTCTGTGGGCAGGGAAACAGAAAAAGAAAAAGAAAAGACTCATGTAAATGTATGCTAGAATGAATTTTTTCCCACCAATCTGTCCAATCGCAGGGCTGTTCTTCACCAATAGTCGTGAAGTTTGCTGATACCCAAAAGGACAAGGAGCAGAGACGTTTACAACAGCAGCTGGCGCAACAAATGCAACAGCTTAACACTGCCACCTGGGGGAATCTTACAGGTCTTGGAGGACTTACGCCACAGTACCTGGCTGTAAGTAATCATTAAATTTGATTACGAGCACTTTCAAAGCAAACTTGTGATACTTAGCAGAATATGTTTTAAGCATAGCAGGGAATATCTGTTTCATTAAGCTGTCATGTAAATTGACAGCACCGTGTTAAGGACGGCAGCAAGGGCTGAAGAGAAATTTGGGGAAATGATCCACATGCATTTTCTCAAATTTATATGGTTACATTTCACAATCTGAATTTCAAATGCTGATGCTTAAGTGAAATTCTGAGTGACTGGTCAGTTTTTCACAGTGCGGTATGTTCAGGTGTGCAGATATGAGTGTGAGTGTCAGAGAGCTGATCTATTTGATACTGGTACTATTTCAATGGCAAATATGGTGTGGTTCATTGTGGTTTGTGCTGCTGTGGTTTGTTGTTGGTTGGTTTGTTCGTTTGTTTTGCTTTGTTTTGTTTTGTCTGAAACACTCAGTTCTGCATATGTCTCGCCTTCAGTCCTGTCATACATATATATCAGCCAAAAACTATATTCCTGAAAGTTGAATATGAACCTTTCAGAGAAATTGAAAGATCCCTGACATTCTTAATTATATGTGCAATTCTGCCTAGTTTTTGGAATCCAGACCCCTTCTATTTGAAATCCTGTACATTTCATACATTTCATACATACATTTCATGTTACCCTTCATTTCATTTTGAAATGTTCCCTCTGAAAATGGCTATTTGCAAAAATGCTCTGTAAGCTAACCGCACAATCCTACGTAATGTCTACTCAGAAGTAAGTCCTGTTGAGTTCTGTGGGGTTCATGCCTAAGACCTTGCGGCCTAACATTGCAATTTCTCTGTATATTTACTGAGAAACAAGTCTCACTAAACTCAATGAAGCTTACTTTTGAGTAGACATGTATCAGATGTCACTGTAAATTATGTTTGTTTCACTCCACAAGGTCTCCTTTGCATGGCAGAAGGTGAGCAAGTTGATGATCAAAACTTTATTTGCCCTTTGTAAGGAAAATGAAAAAGACAAATTTATTTGAAAAACGATTGGCGGGAGATTGCTCACTTTCTGTAATGCAGAGATATGAAATGATGGATGCATTTGGATAAGAGTGTTCGCCGTGATGCATTTGAGGGAGGAAATTTGCCCCTCAGTGGGCTGCAGGCTCCTTATTTTAGCAGTGGGGATTTAGCCATCCTAAATGTCTTGCACTTGCACACGTGGTTCAAAACATGCATGCATCACAAACTTTAAAATCAGAGTTTAAAAAAAAATTAATGTGCAAAAAGGCAAAATGTTCACATTTTGGAACTTTTTGCCAAAACTGCAGAAGATGAAAGGAAAGCTACCGCTCTTCCTTTGCCTGTCCAGTCTGAGCAGGGGTATTTATTCATCTCTTGCACACAGAATTCCTGCCCACGTTTCTGTTGCATGCACTTGAATGGGTCTGTGTGTGCATGAAAACATCAGCCTAATATTAGCTGCAAAGGCGTTCTCCAAAGTAGCAAAATCTCAAACGTGGAAGGTTTTGTCCCTGGCATCTGGGTTTAATTGGATCACATGTAGCAGGACTGGAAAATACCTTTGCTTAAGACCAGGGATCAGCAAAGTTTTTCAGCAGGGGGCCGGTCCACTGTCCCTCAGACCTTGTGGGGGGCCGGACTATATTTTGAAAAGGGAAAAAAAATGAATGGATTCCTATGCGCCACAAATAACCCAGAGATGTATTTTAAATAAAAGCACATATTCTACTCATGTAAAAACACGCTGATTCCCGGACCATCCGTGGGCCGGATTTAGAAGGCGATTGGGCCGGATCCGGCCCACGGGCCTTAGTTTGCCTACCCATGCTTAAGACTCTAGAGTAGAGAACCAGCATCACTCACACTAGGTAATACTTGGGTGAATGGACCAGGGGTCTGTCCCATGACTGAAATGTTAACGCAGGAAGAAGAAAGGCACTTATGCTACAATCTTATATGTACTTACCTGGGAGTGAGCTCACTGTATTTGGTGGGGCTTACTTCTGAATAGACATGGGATAGCTCAGTCAGTAGAGCATGAGGCTCACAGGGTCAGGGGTTCTAGCCCCACACTGTGCTAAAGACTGCTGCATTGCCTCTCGGAGTCCCTTCCAACTCTAGAATTCTATGTAGAGCTCAGGGACAAAGAAGAAAGTTCTGTACACAGAGAACATCTCAGGTTCAGGAAATGTCCCATCTGAAATCTTGGAAATCTGCTGGTAGTCATTATAGACTAGATGGGCCCAGTGGTCTGACTCAGGTTTAAGGAAGCTTCCTATGGTCTTCTGGATTATGCTGCTACTTGCAAGAGGAGCTGATCCTTCCCAGATTGTTGTAAATTTATTCTTCACCATCCAGACCATTGCTGTCAACTTTTCCCTTTTCTTGCGAGGAATCCTATTCGGAATAAGGGAATTTCCCTTTAAAAAGGGGGAAAGTTGACAGCTATGATCCAGACTACATACCAAAAGTAGGCCTAGCTAAGTGAAAAACAGCTGAGGAGAGAAGTAATTTGTAGGGAAGAATGAGAAGGCATGGGAGGGGTCAAGAAGAAGAAGAGTAGAGGGACTTCCGGGTTGGCGCGATCCGGGAATGGCGGATTCCCTCCGAGCTCCGGAGGGAATCGGCTCAGCGGTGGATGGGTCTTTGCCGTGCCGGCGACACGGGGACCCTTAAAAACCGCAGGTGCAGATGCCTGCGGACTGAAGACTCGGCGGGTGCCTTAAGCGCCCCCCCTGATTCGCGAAGAGCCTTTTTAAAGGCTATGGAGGGGATACGGGGGACGGCGCGGCACTGAGAGTCGATCGCTACCGCCGCTGAGCGAAGCCGCGAGCCATAACCGGAGAGCGCTGACTTCCTTCCTTGAAATTTGGATTGAAAAAAGAACCCGTGAGTAATTTGGAACTGAGCTTTAAAAACTTTTACCTTTTGAATTTGAGACGACCGGGGGGTGTGCCAAAAGGAAGTCCCCATCCCCCCCCTTGCAGACGATCCAGAGCAACGATATAAGAGCTAAGCTGGAGTGCCCACCCTGTAAAGGGTGAGTTTTAAAAAAGACAGTAACTTCCAAGATTTGGAAAAGCAAATTTAAGCAGGAGAGTGGAGTGTTGGAAGAGTTTTTGTTTTGTGGTAAACAACCCTCCCTCCCGAGCCCGGGAGCGATCTGCTTTGGAGCCTGTATAGAGGAGCAGAATTTGACAGCTGTCAAAGCTGTCAAATGGACTGTTAATACTGAAAAAAATTGCTACTTAAGACCTCTCCGGATAAAAAGGAGTTACAATTGAACTAAAATTTTGGGAAACAAAGAAACAATAATAGGACAGAGGATTGTTGGAGAAAAGACCATCCAGTAACCAGATTCCCTCTAGGGGGAATTCTGTGGAATTACAATGGCTGTGGGTGGAAAGATACTGAGAGAAATCGAAAGGATGTTTTCACTGGTGGGAACCTTACAGGAGCAGACTACAGCTATGAGTAAACAATTGACGGCCTTGGATTTGGAAACAAGTAGCTCTGCTGAATGTAATGAGGACTTGAATGAGAAAGAACCCACAGCTGAATTTGAAATAATAAACAAAGAAGAGGAGAAGACAAAACAAGAAAGAGAACAAGTTATGTGGGAAAATACTAACCAGAAGCCGATATTTGGAGAATACAAACAAGGAGACCATTGGATGGAATCTATTCCAAGCCTACGAAAGATACAGAAGATGAAAGTGGAGGCCCTGGGAGTTTATGGAACTCAGGAACTCGAAATAAAGAAGTACAATTGGGGCCTCCACATAGACTTTGATTTTGACCATCACCAAGACTCAGGCCTTGTGGAAATTCCTCAGCAGTTGCTTATAAATATGGGAAGAGACTATGGACTGATTGGATTGAATGTTAATGAAATCTTTCGAGACTCGATGACTGACAAAGAGGACTACCAACAAAACCGGCGGAGAGGGACTGAAACAGATTTGAGAGCCTCGGATGTGCGGAATCCAGGCTAAAAACTGTTATTTTGGACATGTCTTGGGAAAGGACGCAAAGCGGGGATGGGAGGGAGGGAAGCATAAACTTAAATAACACTCAAGACCAGGGGTTTAGTAATAAGGAAATTACTCAAGAAAAAATGAGAAATCGAGGGAAGAGAATTGGGGTCCAACTTAGGGAAAACTTATTTTTTGTTTCTATAAAAGGACTAATATTAAGAAGGAAGAAATGCTAACTTGCTGACATAAACTTGGGAACAGGGATGCAAGGGAGGGGGTGGGGGGAAGTCAAGGACTAGGGTTAGAAAATAAGACTTTTTGGAACTATTCATGTTTGCTGTTGTTTTTTTTTTTTATGTTTGTTTTGGTGTTATGTGTTTTGTTTTTGTCTATATAAAATGTGAAAACCCAATAAAAATTATTATAAAAAAAAAAAAAGAAGAAGAAGAAGAGTAGAAGAGTTTGGATTTGATATCCTGCTTTATCACTACCTGAAGGAGTCTCAAAGCAGCTAACATTCTCCTTTCCCTTCCTCCCCCACAACAAGCACACTGGCTCTCTCAAGCACCCAGGCTCTCCCCAGCTGACCCACACCAGAATACCGGACCAAAAAATGGGACATTCTGAGATCCAATCAGAAGTGTCCAGGATGTCCAGCTTAAATCAGGACGGTTGAGCAGTATGCATTACAGCACTGCATATGCATTCATTTAACATATAAACTTTATATTAAATAATTGGATATGAACTGATCAAGTGATTCCTTTGTGCACATTTTTCTCCCTTTGTGAGTCGGTTCAGATACAACATTTCCTTCCCATCATCCAAGCCATGATTTGGAGCATTGGGAAGGAGTCCTCAGAGGACAACAGGACAGGACAGGATCAACCAGGATGTTATAGAGTCAGGGTAATATGCACTTGTATAAAACCACATTTTTACACAGCGTACAGTAAACTATATTCTATGCCAAGAGGAGCTGAATACAATATTCAGATTTGCAATACAATATTGCAATACAATATTCAGATTCCTCATTTTGCACAACTTATTCTCAGGTGTTGGGAGGCACAAAAAGCCTGTATTGGACCTCCCTCTCCTAACCACTGGAGATCTGCTTAGCCACCCTTCCTCCATTCCCCTAGCTTCTCAGGTTTGCATTATCCAAATATTGCGTTGTTAGTCGGCCTTAGTTCAAAGTGAAATCGGTGAGATAAGTTGGTCCCACAGGTTTCGATAGGAGCCGCGTTCAACTAACTGAGTGGATGGATCCAAACCATTTTAAACCTATTCTCACAGTAGTAAGGACTAGAAACTTGAATTTGTTTTGAGGTTTTTAAAGGAAATGCAAGCAGGGAATGCACATAGCTCTGTGTGAAATTAAGCCCGCAGCCCCTCTCAGAATGGTTTGGTCTTGTGCTGAATGCCTTTAAAACCCTCCTTTCCCCCAGGTTCAGATCATAGCAGATGTTCCTTTATTGTGTTGATACAGACAGTTGCAGCTCCAGTAGAAAACGGTGCAAAAATGGGTCAGCGATATCTTTGAAGGGGGTCGTCTTTCCATTGTCTGAGGAGGCGGCTTCCTGATGAAGAATTTTGCTTACCTTGAAAGGCAGCGGCCCAATTCACACATTACTCAGATGTGCTGCATTTCCATGGTGACAGAGGAGCAAGGATGCACTTCCAGCCCCCATAATATCACAGCTACTTTCTGCAATAATTGCAGGCTGCACTTGATTTTCTGCAGAGGAAGCCCTCTACCCATGCATCTGCTCACACGAACCCACTCTCCATGACTGTGCAGTCGTCTCAGTCACGCAGAGCCTCTACACCCACGTAGGTGCTGGCTTAATCGTAGGGATTTCTCTGCAAACATCCATGTGCAAGGTGCAATTAATTCTAAACGCAGGTGCAATGTAGGGGCTTAAAGCTTGTCCCAGCTCCACAGTCAACAGGGAAATGCTGTGTGCATGAAGAAAGCATGAATGGAGCTTGTATACAGCTTAACATTCCAAACTATGGAATGCATTGCGGAGGGGTTAGACTAGATGACCCATGGTGCCCTTCCAGTTCTACAATTCTATGATTCAATGGCCCTGTGAAAGATGTTGCCTCGCCTCACTTTGTGTGACTTTTTTGTGTAACACGTGCAGTACCTGTATTCCTTTTGGGGCAGGTTGTGCTGAACACGAAGAGTAGAATACCCTGGGCAGGAAGGGTGGGATTTAAATTTAATAATAAGTAAACACAGCCAAGCAGACCATAATATGCAGTGGGGAATTGCAGGGTGAGAATGTCTGGATCTGTGCATATCTGTCGCTAGAGCCTGGTCTGCACATGCCTGAATATCTGTACACTTGATGTCTGTACACTGAACGACTTGTATATGTGAATTGTATCCACTGAAAAAACAATGCATTTGCATCGCCGTAAATGTTCTGTTTGTGGTGTCATGTCTCTAGTGGGCCGGTCACACATGCAGGTCACCACCTGATGTCGCAGTCGTCAGGTAGTAAGCATGCATCTGTGCGCATAGCGCTCTGCGTGGCTTCTTTGGCTTGCCTGAGCAAATGAAGTTCTGGGAGAAAGAGGGGCTCCTTACTTTCAGGGGTGCCCAAAATACTATTCAGCACAGGGTCCTCAGGCCCTTCGACTTAGCATTTCCCCTCAGGCATGCTGGATGAAGCAAAGTTGTACACTCTCACCTGAACATACACCACAAAAGATTCCCAAGCGATAAGCCTGTTTTAAGTGGGGAGGTGGAAAAATAGACTGTGATTGACGGAGATGAGTTATGGTAACTGCTAGACTGCAGAGGGCAATGATTAGTCACGCTACGTCGGGCTGAAATAGATTTAACACCTGGCTGTTAAAAAGAGTAAATTGATTAATTGTTTTAAAGCAGCAATGTTATTGAGTTTCCCCAGTGTCTGTGTGTTTCTTAATAGAGATTAGACATTAATATGGATTTACAGCATCGACTCTGGGGACCTTCATTTCAACACCAGGCAGAAGCAAGAGACTGTATAAATGTAAAGGAAACTATAAGTATCCCAAATTTAATTTGATTCAGATAATTTTGTTTTAATCTTTAACTTGTTGCGTTATTAACCTCATTAATGTTGTTGTTGTTAATTTGCAGCTTCTGCAGCAAGCAACCTCCTCCAGTAACTTGGGTGCCTTCAGCGGCATTCAACAAATGGCTGGTGAGTTGCAGCTTTCTTGTTAATCCTTTTCTTTTTTTCCCCCTCCTCCTTTCGTGTTGCTTCTTTGTCGTTTGAGCTCTGTCCCCACGGGGTCTTAAGAATATCCAGCCACTTAAGAGAGCTTCCACGTGGGTGTTTGTTGTTGCATGGGTACTGCTCACGCATGCAAAAGTTTTTGCAGTGCTCGAGGGTATCAGTAGCATCAAAATGCTACCCCCACCACCAACATTTTACCCAAAATTACTCTTTCCACCAGGCATGTCCAAAGTCCTAATCTGGCCTGCCCGTTGATTTAATCTGGCCCACATGTCACTATACAGTCATACCTCATGTTACGTCCGCTTCATGTTACGTTCTTTCAGGTTGCGTCCCGCAGCAACCCAGAAGTACTGGAAAAGGTTACTTCTGGGTTTTGCTGCTCGTGCATGCGCAGAAGTGCCAAATGACGTCACGTGCAAGCGCAGAAGTGGCAAATCACAACCCGCGCATGCACAGACGCGCCACTGTGGGTTGCGTTACTTTCATGTTGCGAACGGGCCTCCGGAACGGATCCCATTCACAACCAGAGGTACCACTGTATGTCCTGGGGTAAAATCCTCAAGAACTTTGGGATTAAATTGGTAAAAAAAAAAAAAGCTCAACAGCTTTGGGCGGCCCTCGCGCATGTTCCCTTCATCAAATCTGGCCCTCTTTGAAAAAAACTTTGGGCACCCCTGCTTTCCACAGTCAAACCTGCGAAGTTAAAACAAAAACCAACACCTACTGTCAGTTGCTTCTCTGTGACCCATTTCCAATATTAAGCCTCTGTCTGGAAGCACCTTAAGTTTAAGCATATGGCTTGATGCTTCAGGGTGTGCAAGAGATGCCTATCATCTTGTGCTGAATCAGTTTGAAATGTCTCCTCCGGTTTATGTTCTGCAGTCAGTTGCCTTTTGTTTCCAGAGTTGTATCTTAGCAAGCAATGTTAAAAAGAGCTTTGCTGGGTCGGGCTCTCACATTCCACTTCATCCATGCAGCATTGTCCTCCAGCCATTGCTTGTCCCACAGTTTCCCTATGCTCTGAAAATCCAAGCAGGGGAGAGACATCGATGGCATATAGGGAAGTGTTGGTATACGCTTTTAAGTATCTTTAAAGTGTACATTTATGAGTATGTCTAAAAGAAGGAAGTGTGCAAAATAGCCCCTGTTTTAGTGGTCGGGAGACCTGCTCATCCTTGCTCCTGTTTTGTAGCTCTTAATGCATATTCCAACAGAGAAAATTCCTTTCTAATCTCCGGTGAGAAGTGTTTGCGAGTTCTGTGCAATCAAGTTCATGATAGTCTCGGGCAACTTCGATAATAAGAAACAGGTAGAAGAACGTCGTGACATTCTTAAGGGCATCTGAAATTACAGAACCTACCTTTTGATAACATGTGCCCAGGAAGAAGTACCCTGCAACATTACAAAGCAGGGTATAGGGTTTTTTAATTTATTTTAAAGCACATAATCGTTTGGTCCAGGACTGGGGAGGGGAAGAAGGGAAGAAGCAAAAGAAAGTAACTGGAAAGCAAGAAAGACAAAGGATAACTTGAAAGGCATTTAGGTGGACAGCTGCTCAGTAATGAACTCTGTGTGCTGGTAGTAACCAATGTATAGTGATTAATAAAAGGTCGTTCCAGCTGGGTGACCCACCATGCTAACTTAACGTGGTGTGAGAGGATTGTGTTATAAGCAGAGACAAATGAGCACAGATGCGCATTACGCCTGCCATGCAAAAGTGTTGGAAGCCTATTTGCTGCCCCTCTGCACGGTTTGTTTAACATTTCTCATAAAAGCACAAACCCCTCCCTTAGCCCCATTGTCATCAAATTGGCGTGGTAGTTTATTTTTAATTATGCTCTGACTAAATCAGCAAATTGGTGTGCTTTCCTCCAGCCTCGCAACGCAGGAAAGGGCTTAAGCTATCCGCGGTTCCTCCCTTTCTTCTTCTCCTCCTCCTCCTCCTTTTTCTTCTTTTATTAATGCTTTGCTTTTGAATGGATCTTGAAGTACGCCTATGAAAAAGAGATGAGCTACTCCCCATTGGCACTGTGCGCTTCATCCTTACAATATGCCATTATTGCACTGGCACCAGAGACTAATGCAGAATCCGCTGTCTGACAATATAAATTGGCCCACAGATGACAATATCTCTGAGTTATTTTCTCTGGCTCAGATCCGTTGGCAAGCACTTGCGGCTTCTATTATGTTACACTCATAATCTAGCGCAGGTTTTTTTTCTTTCCCCGTCATCAAAAATATATCTTAATACGATAAACAACATTTTCACAGTTGGCGTTTTTTGGAACTGGCTTTGAGCTTTAAAGGCTGCCGGTAATGTTTGGCTTTGGTTAGCCCTGTAGAATGAATGAAGAATGGAGCGACGGAAGAGGGAAGCGGTGCTGGAGATTTTCCTGTCTAATACAAGTACAGCCATACTGCGACGCCGGAATTATGGCCCATTGTTGGAACAGCTTGAGATTGGTTCTTCCAATCCCCACATTCTACTGCCGTCTCTGCCAGTTTGCTACCAGTGGTCTCTTGACATAGACTTCAACTTTTCCAAACATCCTCAACACCAACTTGCAATATGGAGCCCCTTTTCGGTTTCATTTTGCCAGATTGTTGTCTTCCAGTTCTGCTGGTCATTTCTTCCACTGCCGCCCCCTCCCTCTTTGCCTTCCTCAAAGTGACAAATAAAAGGAAACGTTGGTGCCACTACTGCAAATCATTTTAGGAAATGATGTGCACAACGTAGATTAGATCTCTGGGCGGTGTTTAGTAGTAGATTGGCAAGGCTTTCTGGTTCCCAGTTGTTCAGCAATAGCAACAACAAAATGAATTTTCCCACTTAAATTAGCCTGAAATGATGAACATTTTGGGGTAACCAGGTTGTGGATTTTTGTGTGAGCTCATTTCTGGTACTGAAAACAAACTCCTAGACACTTGTGTGTGCCAAGAGACAATCCTAACCCTGTGTCTTTGGCTGTGTTGTTAAGAAAAGTTTTCTAAGGAAATGAAAGGATTGTCCTGCCAAAGTACTGTATTTTTCGCCCTATAGGACACACTTTTTCCCCTCCAAAAATGAAGGGGAAATGTGTGTGCGTCCTATGGGGCGAATGCAGGCTTTCGCTGAAGCCTGGAGAGCGAGAGGCGTCGGTGCGCACCAACGCCTCTCGCTCTCCAGGCTTCAGGAAGCTATCCGCAAGCCTTGGGAGACCAGCACGACTTCCCGCCGGGCTCCCTAGGCTTGCGGATAGCAGCCTGTTCTGGGGGCTGGGGTCAGGGGAAGCTCGGGCTTCCCCCACCCCAGCCCCATGCATGGGGGAAATAAAATTTTTTCCCTTTATCTTCCCCCCCCCAAAAAACCTAGATGCACCCTATGGACCGGTGCGCCCTATGGGGTGAAAAATACAGTATGTAATATTGTGCTTATTGTTTCGGCTGTTTTACCCAGTTTGTGTGAACGCCTACATTATTCTCTGAAAGAGGAAAGACTATAAAAGCAACATGTCTGTTTTTGGGGGGGAGGAAAATTGATGCAGTATTGATTGTTTCCTTTCCCTCCCTTTAAATGAAAGTAGGATAGAAGTAAGATATCATGAAAGCGACCTGAGAAATGGTCTGTGGTTAGACCAAATGCTACCACAGCCAATGGCTGGTCAATTGTGCCTGATAGGCATCATCACTAGGGAAATAGTGATTTGTGGCTTAAAACAGGGCAAGAAGTCTCCCTGAATGGAGTCTGGCCCAAAAGGGGTGGCAGAACTGAGAGCAGCTCACTGTGACTTGTCTGCAAAGCATTTTGAGGATGAAATCGCTTGCATCTCCCGGGATCCTGACTCTGTTGTTACAGCAGAATCTGGACGCTCAAGGGGTGTCCAGAGCCCTGTTTGGTCCTGTTGTGTGGCGAGTTCCCACCTCCCACCAGTAGGAATAAAGACACATGACACCATTATTTTAGGTTAATGGGCTAAAATTGGCCACAGCTTTATTGGTTACAGGTAAAGAGCGGTATTGGCTTAGGCATTGGTCCTATCCGACTATCCGGCTTCAGCCTGTTTGCTTGAAGACCGGGAAGGGTTAACACCAGCAGGGGTAGCCCTGCTGATGCACATCAACTAGGGGCTCCCCCGGGGTCACCGCTCAGGGGTGCGCTTTAGGCCCTGACCTCCATAGGCTTCGGACGAGGCCACGCCCCCCAGAATCCTTTACCGGACTACCCTTCAATATTTGGGGGAGGTGATGGCACTCCTCCCCCCCCAACACATCTACATAACAATACCCCTACCAATGCCTAACCGCCAAAATCAAAGGTGTTGTGACAATTTGCTACAAGGTAGGTGAAAAAACCAAATGGCCGGTGCCAATTTGCCAAGTGGAAAAAAATCCTACCAGGCCCCTTAACGACAACCAACTGAGGTCCATAGCAAGGTCAGAAGGGGAACCTTGAAGGGCAGGCGGGTGGGAAACCACAGCAGCTGAGTGGACCAAAGAGGGAGATCCCGGGGCCGTGGATGACGAGATGACACGGCCCAAGGATTCCCCAGATCGCGCAGGGGCTGGGAGCCAGCCTCCACATGTGTGTTGGGGGCGTCCTCCTGAGGTCGGAAGTGGCTTTGTGTTGAATGAGTTTCAGTTTGTAAGGTTCAAGGATGTGGACAAGGTGCCTGGATCGCTTAGGGCGACCACTTGCACTCTGGACTCTTGCCCCTATGAGATGCTAAACACTAGCAGTGAGGCGATTAATGCCTTCCTGCAAGATCTGGTGGTCCCTGCCTGCTTGAGGGAGGCTAAAACTACTCCTCAAGAAGTTCCCCCTAGATTCGGAAAATCTTAACTACCAGCCAGTGGCCCATCTCTGCTTTGGGGGCTAGGTCAGGGGTGTCCAAACTTTTTTCAAAGAGGGCCAGATTTGATGAAGTGAACATGCATGAGGGCCAACCATTTTATTGAGCTTTTTTTAGGGTTGAAGTTGGTGAACTTTTTTAGGATTGGAAGGGTTGAGCAGGCAGAACAGAGAGCAAGCAGAACGGTGGATGGGAGTGGGACATTAATGGAGGGCAGCAGCAAGAACCTAATGTCGGGCGGAACAGAGAGCAGAACACAGAACGATCAGAGGGACGGATAAAGAACAGGGCATCTAATGAGCCACTCAGCGTCATGGGTACAGAGACGGGCACCTGCGCGAGCAGAGCAGTAGCTGGACAACAGCAACAGTCCACCGCTAACAGGGTCCTAGAGCTGGACAATGGATGCCGGCACGCAGCGGGAGGGTAGGCTATCCGTAGCACATGGATAGTTAAAGCTATGGTTTTCCCAGTAGTGATGTATGGAAGTGAGAGCTGGACCATAAAGAAGGCTGATCACCGAAGAATTGATGCTTTTGAATTCTGGTGCTGGAGGAGACTCTTGAGAGTCCCATGGACTGCAAGAAGATCCAACCGATCCATTCTGAAGGAAATCAGCCCGGAGTGCTCACTGGAAGGACAGATCCTGAATCTGAGGCTCCAATACTTTGGCCACCTCATGAGAAGACTCCCTGGAAAAGACCCTGATGTTGGGAAAGATGGAGGGCACAAGGAGAAGGGGATGACAGAGGATGAGATGGTTGGACAGTGTTCTTGAAGCTACCAGCATGAGTTTGACCAAACTGTGGGAGGCAGTGGAAGACAGGAGTGCCTGGCGTGCTCTGGTCCATGCGGTCACGAAGAGTCAGACATGACTAAACGACTAAACAATAACAACAGCACGTGGATGCAATAACCATAAACGGACTTGCCTGTTGGGCCAGATGAAACTTTCTATCGGGCCAGATTAGGCCCCCAGGCTGGACTTTGGACATGGCTGGGCTAGGTTCTTGAGTGGGTGGTCACAGATTACCCTGCAGGTTTCACAACTCAAGTTGTGAGATAAAAAAAACAAGATCTCAGATCTCCGATTGTGCTTGTGTTTTAACCGGCCTGCATGAGTGACTCTGCAGTGGTGCTACATGGCTTTCCTGTGAATGTGCTAATGGGCCTTATGAGAGGGTTTTGCAGCCATCCATCTGCCAGTTTTTAACAGGCCTGATTGGCAAGCGGCTGTAACAACTGACATCTGTTCGTGCTTATTGATATGTAGATTTATGGTAATTGCTCTGAACAATAAGACATGAAATTACCTAAGGTGAACATTAAATTAAATTTTCATGGCCCCTCTTCCTTATAAATATGTTGTTGTTGGAGGGTTTTTTTTAAAAAAAAATATTACATTTCAAACAGGCATATTGTGCATCTGTTATGAACATAATTTAATTGTATTTTTAATCTGCCAAGCTGCAAAATCAAAGTTGGGATTCTTGCTGTCCGTAATATTGGGCAAGTTTGGTTAGCTTACTGGTAGATACAGATTACCAAACGCAGAGTCAGAGTCCACTTTTATTCGCAACGTTTTTCTCGCATCATGAAGATTAAGAGTTGTTTTGTTTCCAGCAGCTTATTCCCAGAAGGCAGAAGGGGTGTGCGCGGCTCTTTGCGCCACTCTGTCTATCAGGCTGTGCTTTAGAGTTTTGAGTGATTTGCATTTCTTCAGAGAGCGCTGTGTTTGTGGAATGTTCAACGGTTTCAAAGAAAAATGATCACATTATTTTCTGTCCGGCTCTGCTGTGGGATGTAAGGGAAAGGCGGTGGGGAGGGGGAACCAAACACGCGGGGTGCAATGTGAAAAGTGCAGGTTCAGGAATGCGAGAACAGGGCCAGCAAGTTGCGGCCCGTGAAAGGTACAATGCAAGTCCCTTCCACGGGCTGGGGAAATTATTGCATCTGCCCTTAGAACATTACTGTATTTTTCAGTGTATAAGACTGGTATTTGTATTAAAACTATAATCCAGTGAGGAGCGAAAATAGCTAGGAAAATAGCCAGGTGGAAAAACCACTTGCCCCAAGAAATCTTCTTAAAGGAAAAGGTTCATTGGCAAAAAAAAAACCATAGTAATTTAAATGGGCGCCGAAATGGAAAAAGATTTCCAAGCTATTTAAGCTGTTGAAGGAATTCAAATCAAAGATCTCAACAATCAAGCCACAAGATAAGAAGGCCAAGCTATATTTAAAAAAGATGGTTAGCCTCAAATAGTATAAAATATTGTCCAAAACATTGGTGTGCTATGTCACGAATAGTGGAAGTGGATGGCGATGTGCTGCGCAGCTGGATATTTCCGTGGCTTTTTTGCGGGTGATGTGGGCTGCTGCTAGGGTCTGTGGTCATTGGTGCTGGGCAGGGGGCGTGGATGTCTGCTCTCACAGCGTTGCAGCCGATTTAGCGGATGTGTGTGCATTGCTGGGTGCCAAGAAAAAGTTCAATCCCTGGCAATATCTCTCCAGGAGGGCTAAGAAAAGCTCCTGTCTGAACCCTGGAGAGGCCACTGTCAGACTATGCAAATAACACTGAGCTCGATGGCCAATGGTCTGACTCCTTTGCAGGTTGCTTTGCTTTCATTTTTGTTTTTATTTCCCCTCCTCTTCTTCTCCACAATCTTCATTTTCCATTTTCCTCCGCAATCAGGAGTACCAGAGACTACCCTTTAAAGCAGCGGCTCTCAACCTGTGGGTCCCCAAATGTTGTTGGACTACAACTCCCTTCATCCCTGACCACTGGTCATGCTGGCTAGGAATGATGAGACCCTGGGGACCCACAGGTTGAGAAACACTGCTTTAAAGTAAGAAAAGGAAGGAATACCTGATGGCCTCCAAATTGGATGGCTTAAAAAGAGGGTTAGGTATATTCGTGAAGGAGCAGGCTATCTGCGGCTACTAACCACGATGGCTGTGTTCTCCCTTCACTGTCTAAGGCATCATACTTCTGAATAACAGTTTCTGGGAATCGCAGCTGGACAGAGTGCTTATGCAGTGGTATATATACAGTGGTACCTCGGGTTACATACGCTTCAGGTTACAGACTCTGCCAACCCAGAAATATTGCTTCAGGTTAAGAACTTTGCTTCAGGATGAGAACAGAAATTGTGCTCCGATGGCGCAGCAGCAGCAGGAGGCCCCATTAGCTAAAGTGGGGCTTCAGGTTAAGAACAGTTTCAGGCTAAGTACGGACCTCCGGAACGAATTAAGTACTTAACCCAAGGTACCACTGTATATATAAATGCTAATTGCTGAGGAAACATTGAGAACTGATTTTAAGAATGGAAAAATGAGAAACAGAGAAAATCAGAATTGGCATTTCCATCCATCCCTAGTTGCAGCAGGGGCTATGCAATTATTGAGCGGAGCTTCACATTTTAACTAAGAACAGGCATCTTCCATCCAAGGAATCAGAGCCTCACTCATTCTGGCATGTATACATCAGATAAGATTTCTTCCTTAGTAACTGCCCTGGGAGATTATTCCATGACTGCAGCACCTCCAGAGTCAGTCCTAATGCAGGTACCTGAAGAAAGGTCTCCGTTGAAGATTTTACCATATTGGCAGACACAGATGGAGAAAAGTGATTTTCTAAGTATCCTGCTCTCATGCCTCCAACTATATTAAGCCCATAGCAGCATCTGCTAGACCTTCATGCTGAACTAATGCCAAGTCCCACTGAGGATGGTTGCATCTTGTCTGATGCCAAGTTCTTTGCACAATCTGCTTGCTAGCATCACACCTAAAAACATCCAGGACTTTTTTTTCCAGGTTCTTATAATTTTGCATCATCTCTGTGCCTGTAAAGAACAACCACACACACCAATTATTTCTCAGCTATTTAAAATGCAGCGTGAGGTCTTCATCTTCTAGCCGTTGTTGTTTCTGCAGGTTATTATTAAGTTTACCACTTCTTAAGTAGCCTAAGAAACCTGCTCAAAATATCACTGAAAGCCTTTGGCTCCCCCCAGTGCCCAAATCATTACTACATATGTGACCAGAACGTACCTGATAATTCTGTTTCCCAGTGGAGTCTCCCATCAAGAACTGTCTTTGGCAAAAACTGTCGCTATAGATAGTGCCGTACTGATCTATTGGCCTTCTGACAGGGCAGGCTCTGACTTCGTCTGCAACGCATTCATTTTATCTTTACGAGTGGGAAAATGTAGAAATGGGAAGCTTGCCATAACTGAATCATGAAGCTTACTGGGCTTACTGGGCGTTTGAAAAGGGCTGTGTTATGTTATTTGATGCACACTTCGACAGGCAACTCTCAGCCACCCAAATTTGGTTGTTTCTGTGTCGTTAGCGGGAAGAAGGGACCACAGCTAGGGAGACAGGATGAAAGTCGAATCCTTGTTCTCAGTCTAGCACAATGGATCTCAGCTAGCAGGATTGAGAAATATCGCTCCCTCAGAACTCAGAAAGCTCTCACCAGGCAGCATAGAGAAAGCTAGGCTAGATGGACCAATAGCTCAGCATATATGGTTGAACCTTATGGGGAGCAAGTGAGAGTTGGTTTGTCACAGGTGGATTACAGGGCATAAATGTAAATCTATTTTGGGTATATTTTATTGGTGGGTTAGCAACAACAACGAGTGCAAACATAACAAATAAAAAGAAAACCATAAAAAGCATCGTAGCCTGGAAAAACGAATGTGCACAGCAAATGGCCAGCTCATTTAAAACTATACAGAACCTTTATCTTCAATAATGATGGAACTCACAGGTGGAGAAGACTTTTCTTTTTCTATCTCTTTTATTATTGGTAAAGGGAATATCGCCCTATTTTGCCCATCCAAGAACAGGATAAGGTGGAGGCTCCCAGCTATGTTCATTTAAAACAAAAAATGTGATTTGAATTTTGTAATCAAGCTCACTGCTGCAGTTCCTTTTATGTTCTTTCTGCAGGAATGAATGCTTTACAGCTACAGAATTTGGCAACTCTAGCAGCCGCAGCTGCCGCCGCCCAAACCTCAGCTACCACCACCAATGCAAATCCTCTCTCCACAACAACCGGAGCCCTTGGCGCACTCACGAGTCCAGGTATGACCAAATGTGTGTATTGGGGGGGGGTGTCCTTTGTTGTTTTTTCCTAGCTCCCATTTCTTCAGAAACTCTGAGACAGGTGTCAAAATAAGTCGCCGCCACATATTGAATGCGGATTGGTGAATGTGCCACAGGCTTGATCAGGTGTTGTTGGTTTTTTAAAAAAATTTTTAAAAGGTTTTCTCAGGCTCACCTGCCACCATAAATATAATGTCAGATAGCATTTTCTCAAGCATGAGTCCACTTCTTAAATGTTATTCTGGTGCTATGTGCACATGACTTTATTCTGCCAGTCAAGTAGTTACTAAAATGCAACCTGGCGATTACTTGAAATTTTCAAAGCAGGATTCAGAATGCAAGCAAATGTCCAGTGTAAACAAGCAGAGCTTTGCTTGTTTATTCAGACCCACAATTCCCAGTCTCTTAAGGAACCACATGTCTTTCTTTTGCTAGAACTGCTTTTGCAATGCTCTCCTTTTACTTGTGTTTTGATGTGTCGTCTTTCCCCCTTCTGATTTCTTGTTTTCCTTTACTTCATCCTTGATACATCTCCCTGTAAAAAATTCTTTGGAAGGGAAACAGGGTTGTGGTTGCTGAAGTTGGACCAAATGCTTAGAAGAAATTTGGCATAAATCTGCGCTAGGGCTGTCTGCAATGGCTAATATTTATCAAGGGATTTCACAGAGTAGTTTGGTTCTGTGGTGTCTGGTGCTTAAATAGACCAGTAAGTCACCGCAGACCAGTGCTCCTAGAGCAGCTGTTAACCCTGCTGCCAAGTTTTAAAGGACTCGCTTCTAGATTATAAGGGCATCACACAATATATAACAAATATCTTGCACTTAGCAAATATTGACTTCTAAAAATATTAAGAATGGGGAGAAGCCTCCCTAATTTTCACTTCTCAAGTCCATAAATGAACTGAAACACAGCTGCTTTTCAAAATTCACACTTTTTGTAGTGCAGGTCTCCAAAAGAAAACTGTACAATTTGCATATATTGGTGAAAATAGCATTCAAAGTGCATTGTCTTTAAGGAACATCACTTGCAAGAATGTGTATATCCGGTAAAAGTGGGGGGAAAGCGTGTGTGTTAGGATAAATTGTGAACTGAAATGCTGACAAGCTTGTGAGTACTTGTTTATATATAAAAAATGCAAACTGCAGCAGAAATGTGAATTGAACTGGACGTTAGAAAAATCGAATATTGAGAAAAACAAAAAATGAGCAATTAATCCATCCCTAAGAGATATTAATTCTGTATTATTTATTTGCTTATTGGGTGATGGGGGGGTATAATGTGGATATTTGTTTTACAGGTACTATGTGTTAATGTTTGACCACCACCAGAGTATTTGCAGCCACTGTGTGGAGGCACCATTTGCATGGTTCACATACCTACAGCTAGGTATGAGAGCCAGTGTGGTGTAGTGGTTAAGAGCGGTGGACTCGTAATCTGGTGAACCAGGTTCGCGTCCCCGCTCCTCCACATGCAGCTGCTGGGTGACCTTGGGGTAGTCACACTTCTCTGAAGTCTCTCAGCCCCACTCACCTCACAGAGTGTTTGTTGTGGGGGAGGAAGGGAAAGGAGAATGTTAGCCGCTTTGAGACTCCTTCAGGTAGTGATAAAGTGGGATATCAAATCCAAACTCTTCTTCTTCTTCTTCTACCTTAGTTCCCATGGTGGCAACAACCCTTTTCAGACCACAGCTGTCATGAGAATTGGGTTAACCGTGTAAATGTTGCCTGCATAGAGGTGCAGGTACATAGAAATGGCCATTCCACACAGCCTCAGCTGGGCTCTTGGGGCCACTGAAGACATGAGGTATATTTTCCTTGGAGCAAGAGGTGCATTTGCAATGATTTACAGCTGGTCTCTTCCTGTCCTAGCTTCTTGCTATGGTGCACAGTTCCAACTCAGTTGTGAAATTTTATTATTTGTAGCAGCTGCACATGATGCTCCTTTTCCCCCCTCGCTATGTGAATATCTGCTGCCACTGCCGCTGTAGTTCTTTCACATTGACGAGACAAAAGGATTCTGACTCAGGTTGGGGGTTTTTTTGGGTAGGAAATCCATTCTAGCCACTTCCCTCCAACTCAGCTGACAACCTTCCTCCTTATCTCTTGCCTCCAGAGCTGGACAAGCGCTTGGTGACCAGCAGGGCTTGGAATCTGCAGTTTTCAAATGCCTGATTCTGAAACTCTCCTTACCTTGATTTGTCACCTAGATCTGTAGCCGCTTCCTGGCTGGCCTCTCATAATTTTGTGGGTGTCCAGTGAAGTTGAAAATGTAAAAAGGGGTTATTTTGGACCTGGCTTGGTACTGCGCATTTCTTATGTGCTGCTGAGAGGATGAGAGGGAAACGAAAGATGATGGTACTCAGGGAATGAAACTAGTTGGTGATGTTTCGGGTAAATCAAGCAGGAATGCACAAGGAATTTTAGGGGGGAAAGAAAGAAAAGAAAACCAAAATAATTTTGCCATGTAATAATTTTGATTCATACTAGAGATCTTGTGTGTTAGTGTGCTGGAGTGGGGAAACCTGGTTTCAAGTACAGTGGTACCACGGGTTACATACGCTTCAGCTTACAGACTCTGCTAACCCAGAAATAGTGCTTCAGGTTAAGAACTTTGCTTCAGGATGAGAACAGAAATCGTGCTCCAGCGGCGCGGCGGCAGCAGGAGGCCCCATTATCTAAAGTGGTGCTTCAGGTTAAGAACAGTTTCAGATTAAGAACGGACCTCCGGAACGAATTAAGTACTTAACCCGAGGTACCACTGTATCAGCCACTCTCTGGATGACTTTGGGATATCCAGCGTACCTTGCAAGGTTGTTGTAGAACAGTATGGCAGTGACTTCATCATGATGTTAGTGGTCACCACATCATGTGGTCATAAGTTTCACTGTTTAACTGTTGGTCCTCAATCCCCCAGCATTCAGCTTCACTGGATGACACAGGGGAGAGGCAGAGAAACACCCACATCATCGTCGTCATCATCATAATCTATTTATACTCTACGCATCTGGCTGGGTTTCCCCAGCCACTCCAACAAAATTTTAAAAATACATTAAAACATCAGTCATTAAAAACTTCCCTAAACAGGGCTGCCTTCAGATGTCTTCTAAAAGTCCGATAGTTGTTTATTTCCTTGACATCTGATGGGAGGGCAATCCACAGGGCGGGTGCCACTACTGAGAAGGCCCTCTGCCTTGTTCCCTGTAACCTCACGTCTCGTAGGGAGGGAACGCCAGAAGGCCCTCGGAGCTGGACCTCAGTGTCCGGGCTGAAAGATGGGGGGTGGAGACGCTCCTTCAGGTATACTGAGCCGAGGCCGTTTAGGGCTTTAAAGGTCAGAAGCAACACTTTGAATTGTGCCCGGAAACATACTGGGAGCCAATGTAGGTCTCTCAAGACTGGTGTTATGTGGTCTCAGCGGCTGCTCCCAGTCACCAGTCTAGTTGCCACATTCTGAATTATTTGTAGTTTCCATGTCACCTTCAAAGGGAGCCCCAGGTAGACCGCATTGCAGTAGTCCAAGCAGGAGATAACCAGAGCATGCACCACTCTTGAGAGACAGTCTGTGGGCAGGTAGGGTCTCATCATGTGGACCAGATGGAGCTGGTAGACAGCTGCCCTGGACACAGAATTGACCTGCGCCTCCATGGACAACTGTGAGTCCAAAATGACTCCCAGGCTGCGCACCTGGTCCTTCAGGGGCACAGTTACCCCATTCAGGACCAGGTAATCCTCCACACTCACCCACCTGCTGTCCCCCCAAAACAGTACTTCTGTCTTGTCAGGATTCAACCTCAATCCGTTAGCCGCCATCCATCCTCCAACTGCCTCCAGGCACTCACACAGGACCTTCACCACCTTCACTGGTTCCAATTTGAAAGAGAGGTAGAGCTGGGTATCATGTCTACTTTTGCCACACCATACCCATCATGTCCGCACCCCTGTTCTCACCTTACCCATCATCACCATAAGAATGTAAGAGGAACAGTGCTTTGTCAGACCAAAGACCCATCGACCTCCACAGGCTGTTTCCCACAGTGGCCCAACAGATTCCAATGGGAAGTGTATAAGCAGGACATAAGCACAACACTCTCTTGCTAGCGTTTCCTAGCAACCGGTATTCAGAGGCCTCTGGCCTCTGATCCTGGAGTTCACATATAGCTATCATAACTAGTAGTCACTGACAGCCTTATCCTTTCTGAATTTGTCTAATCCCCCTTTAAAGCCCTCGTAAAACAGTCCAATTATTATTACCGCAGAAGCAGTAATAATATGGCAAGTTTTTGTTGAGGGGCAGTCCACCCATCGCTTAACATTTGCCCCTGGTTCCAGAAGTCTGTCACTGTATGAGTGACACCTGTCCAAACTGCTTGTTGACGATGTGCAAATCGCTTTTAAAAAAAAAATGGGCATGCTTTTTGTTTTAAAAAGTGGCCAAACGGTCTTAGCCTTTTGCACCATCTCAAAGCCGCAGGCCCCAGACAATAGACGTGTTTATTTTCATCAAGTCTCACTTATAGTAACAACCTCTGATACATTCAGAGCAACTCCCAAATGCTTACGCCATTATGAAATTCAGAAGCTACTGTTCTGGCTAATTTAGCATTCTTTCCCTTAATGTGAAAATTGTATACAAGAGAAGCACCAGCTCCATTGACTTTAATGAAGCTGCCATGCACTAAGCATTATAAAACTTGGAAATGCTTTGGAAATGTGTTTAATGGCTGGAGAATGGTCTTAGAGAGTCGTTGTAAATTTATATAGAAGCCTTGAGGTTGTTAGCGGTCGTCCATCAGCTATCAAATTAGAGACTGAAAGAGCTCTGGCACTGAAAACAGTGCCCTGTGATAGCGTATTACTGAACATAGGGATAACTGTGCTGGATTCAACCACTGGTCTGTGTAGCCCACAAATCTTTTTCCTAGAGTGGCTAGCCAGAAATCTCCAAGGAAGCTCATGACCCCGGGCATGTTGTTGTGTGGC